GTACTGCAGGGTCTACATCATCAACCCCTAAACCCTAAACCTCTAAACCCTGAGCCCTAAACCCTAAACCCTAAACCCTAAACCCCTAAACCCTAAACCCTAAACCTCTAAACCCTAAACCTCTAAACCCTGAAACCTAAACCCTAAACCTCTAAACCATAAAACCTAAACCCTAAACCTCTAAACCCAAAGCCCTAACGTATGACCTCTGCGACCCGAGGGCCCCCGTAAGCGACTGCAGACTAAACTCCCGAGTCTCCCGGGCCCGGGTCCTAAACCTCTGTACCCTCAGGGCACTACCTTAAGAACCGGTTTAGGGTTTAGGGTTTAGGGTTTAGGGTTTAGGGTTTAGGGTTTAGGGTTTAGGGTAACCTACTTTTTTGTAGGGTCCCTGTAAATCCCATATTCGGGTGTATAATAAGAACCTACAAAAAAGTGGGTTTTGGGTTCTTAAGGTAAGATCTAAACGTCTATGCACGGTTTAGGGCTTAGGGGTTTGGGGTTAAAGGTTTATGGGGCTTAGAGTGTAGGGTTTAAGGTTTTGGGTTGAGGGTTCAAGCTTTAGAGTACACCTTACTTAAGAGCCTAAACCCGGAACCTCCGTAGCCTGAGAACCCAGATCTCAATCCAGAGGCCTTAAGAGACCTGAACTCTAATCCCTACCTTAAGCTACCAGAACCAACTTTTTTGTAGGTTCTGATTCAGGGTCCTACAAAAAGCAGGTCATGGCAAACCCCTATGTAAACCCTAGACCCTCAATCCCTGGAAGCGGACCTCGATGACGGCATCCACATGGTATTCCGCCCTCGGGCCATCGGCAAAGAACTCCACGCGAGCTGCTTGGGCCATGGCACTCAGCAGCTAGTGGTTTGGGTTGAGGCTCTGAATTCTGGGTTTAAGAGGCTTGCGAGAGCGCCCACGGGGTTCTGCAAGAGCCTTACAAGGCTTCGACGGTTTGAGGGTTTTAGGGGCAAGGAATAAAATGGTTAGAGAGCCAAGGACCATGGGTTCAGGGATAGGAAGGTTTCGGCATAGGTGGGGGAGTGCTTAGGGCTTTGCGGGTTTAGGGTTTTGCAGGCTTTTTGTTCTATCTACCCTTCAGCTTGGAGAGCAAGATACTCCAAGCAGGCCCCTAAAGCACGAAGAATAAACATGCATCGCCAAACCCTACACCCTAGACCCTAAACTCTGAATTCTCATGCCCTGCACCCACTTGCTGACACATAGGCTCACGACGGCTTGCGGTAGCCCAATCCGAGGGCTTGCGATCCATGGCTTAAGGACGCGCCGGGGTCTAGCTTGGTTACCTAAACCCTTTAATTAGGTTGAAAATTTAGGGCTCAGGGTTTGGCGGTATTAGCCTTAGGATACTTGTCTGACCCTGACGTGGTGCTTGTGACTGTGGTGGAAATATATTGAATGTGAAGTCAGACAAACCCTCAACAAAAATCCTGAAGCTGTCAAACCCACAACCTGAAAAGAAGCTGCCCCCCGATGCAGAGGCTTGCGTGATCGTCATCTACTATAGTATTGAAACGGTGTTAAAGGGTTTAGGGTGTCACAGGGTTTAGGGTTTCGGGCTTGGACAGTGTAGTCTTGTCCTCTGTGGTCTGGTCTAGTCTAGTCTGGATCTAGATTGCCTTGTCGCGACTGGCCTAGAATAGTATAGTGTAGTAGAGTACAGCATCGTATAGTATATCCTATCAGAGTGTTGGGGGTACAGTGTATAGTGGCATAGCAGTTTGACATGCAAAGTCTTGCGGGACTACTCGTGCACCTGCACTGCTCCCCAACATCCCGCGATGCGTGCTTCTTTAAACAGCAAGTTGAGCTGGAGGGGATGCAGGATTTCCGGGCGTCGGACGATCAGTTTTAGGATACGAGGTTGCTGTGTCTCGGTTCTGGGTGTAGTGTTTAGGGTTTAGGGATGCCCTGAACTCGAAACCGCAGCCAAAGGGGCCAGCATCCGGTCACGCTCCACGATGCGGCGCTGATCTTCTTGCTGCTGTCTGGCCAGGGCGGTGGCTTCGGGTTTCGGGTTAGGCGCCAAGGGATCTCGGATGGAGGGCTTGGCAGAGAGAGGGTTTAGGGTTTAGGGTTTAGGGTTTAGGGTTGAACTTAGCTTTGGGTCTAGTTACGAGTTTCGTACCATCACGGTGCTACCCCAGTCAAACTGTGACACATGGTTGATAAGCTGGGGTGTGCTGCCAAAACCCTGAATCGAATTTTAAACCCCAAACCCTACACCCCAAACCTTTAAACCATAAACCGTAATCCCCTGAACCGTAAACCGCAAACCCTAAACCCTTACGGCGAACAAAGCCAACCTTTTAAGGCTGTCTTAGTATGACTTCTTACTATACATCCTTAGAAAGGGATGTTGATCAGGGTCAAGGTAAACCCTTAGCAGTCAGAATTAGGGGGACCCTTGAAGATATGGACCCTCTCGATAAGGTCCTTTTTAAGAGAGCCACAAGTAAGGTTAAGAAGGGTTCCCGTTAAGGGGTCTCCCTAATACCACCTAAGAACACTACATGCTGCGAGTGTCGGGATGCAGCCTACGACATCGAAACATCGAACATCACCAACGCGAAGCCGCGAAGCTAAGTTAGGGTTTAGGGTTTAGGGTTTAGGGTTTAGGGTTTAGGGTTTAGGGTTTAGGGGTTAGGGTTTAGGGTTTACGGTTTAGGGGTTAGGGTGTAAACCGCACAGCCGAAGCCTGAAACCCCAAATCGGAACCCTAAAGCAGCAGGCCGAAAACATATCATAAGCACCCCATAGACCACAGACGAGCCTACAACGAATCTAGGACCTAGGGTTTAGGATTTAGGGTTTAGGGTTTAGGGTTTAGGGTTTAGGGTTTAGAATCTCGGAACATCAGCTAGGGATGGGCTTCAGTCGGAGACGGGTGTTAGGCTCTGGGCTGCAACCCTCGGAACCCCTCAGCTCTTGTCGTGAGCCCATTGCAGATGCGCAACATGTACGTGGGTAGTTTTCTAAATTAGGGTCCCTTTCAGGGTCCTTATTATAAGGGTGCCTTATTATATTGGGGACCTAAAA